CTGCTGCTGGGTGCAGGAGGATGCACAGATGGTTGCCACACAAGTGCAGTTGGGCGTGCATGTGCTATGGAGTTCAGGCAGGTGGTTGCTATGGGTGAGTATGTGCTACGGAGTACGAGATCCCTTAGATTCCTTATAGGTCCCTTATGCTTTTCTAAGAACATAAAACATGCCCAGAACACACACACACACAGACACACACTGCACACAAAAACAATCTCAGAGCTGATAGTTATATTGAGGCATTAGGCATTCCCTAAGCTTGTCTAAGGGAATATTGATGTTTTATGGCTGGTCACACCCACTGTAACATTCATTTTGTGAATATTCTTTGAGGTCCCATGACATGCTTTCTAAGTATAAAAATGCCCACTGGCCAAAAGATTTGGAGAATCTAGCAATATAGAATCGCATAACAAAATAATCTTAAGCAAACAGATCTCACCACTTGCATACTGAGTATTCCTGCACTAACACATTTCTAGAACAGGATCTTGGGACTGCAGACATTTTGAACTTCTCAGATTGCCTCTGTTGCTGTAATTCTAGTTTGGAATCAAAATCAGAATCAAAATCAGCAACCTTTAGACACTTTCTTGTGGGTGTGTATACATTCCTTCATTATACGTTCCTTGTAGACATTTTAAGCCTGTTTCAAGGGAAGTCTACCTATTGTTACTTCACCAACAATATGACATCTCTACCTTCTATTCTTAATCTAGCTCTGTTCTAGTCTCTAGCATCATCAGCCCGATCTACAGCAGAAAATAATATGCTGACAGGAAAACATAACCTGGCACAAAGGATATGCATTTCAATGAGTAACCTGATAAAAACAGCCATGCAGAAATGTAATTTCCCAGTCTCTTTCTTTATCAGCACAATTCATTTTTTTATAACCCCAGTGTCCATCATTTCCTTCATAAACTCCTCGATCCAGCTAATATAAATCTAGAATAATTAAACTGCAGCTTTCCTGAACAGAACAATATATTCTGATTGGGGTAATATATTGCACATGGAAAGAGCATTCAAAACTCATAAGCTGTTGAAAACATACCCTTACATTTACAGTAATTAACCCAGCAATTATCTTTCCTACCAAAAAGGCAAATGTTTCTACAACTATTTTTTCAACTAGCAGGATACAAGATTCAAATTCTTCTACATCACTGATATATATCACTACTCTAATTTTTTCCTATATCTCAGATATCAGAATGTTAACTCCAGCAAAACACTTTAAGTAACCAATCCTGTGGTCCCAACGTAGCTTCACTTACCTGACACAATCATTCAGAATCCTGGAAGGTACCAAATATAATATACTTGGAAACCAATTGTTTTTTAGTCATAAAGTAGACTGTTTATGATTTAAAAGACAGATAAAGGAAGGAATTGTATCAGTGGAAGGCACAGGAACTACCTTGCTTTGACTCAACCACCATTAAATCCTGCTAAATACTCTTGCCAGTTGGCTCCATAGAGTTTAGTGGTTACGCAGAGAATTTTTTTGAGGATGTCTCGTATTTCTCTTGGTAACAAGCTCCAAGGAACTGCTGGGTAAAAGTTTTCTCTCCCAGGTAATAATAATGTAAGCTGTTGAGTTTTCTCATTCAATAATGCTACAGAATTGCAGGGAAAAGTAAAAGTTCAGGCAGCAGTTCACCCTTAACCATCTGTTCCTAAATTCAGTGTAGCCTTTCAGAATTAGATAGAGATTAAAAGTGCAGAACAGCACAGCACAGTTCTGATGGAATATTTACATTACATTACTTCCAGTGAAATATGCATTCAAATAAGGATCCATCAACATCTATGTAAGCATCTGCCCACACTCAGATGTACATGTAATAACAGGTGCAGTTCAGCTAGATCACCTGTACTAGCGTACACACTGGAGTTTGGCCTATTTCAGAAAAGTGATAATTTATACCAAACTAGGATGTGGAAGTAGGAGGAATCACAAAAACTTCCTTATATGCTACCATTTTTATCACATACCCTGAGCTATTTAAGCTTTAAATTACTGCTTTAAATTTATGTATTTGTTCATTCAATTCATATGACCACCCATCTCAACAAGTGGCTCTTGTATTAACAAATTAACATGACATCTTGAACTTCTTGTCTGCATATTTTAACTTCAGATTTCTGGTATTCTGGGGTGTATCTAACATATGTCTGCAACTCCATACAGCAAGGGGGTCTTTTCTTGGATTGGCTGCAGCTGCAAAAGGCACCCACTCAATCCTGGGAAAAGATGCAACATCTTCAAGGAGTAAACAGATAGGTCCCATCTGAGTACCTTCACATTATCCAAGGCACATTTTGTCACATCCTGTGACAATGCATATTGCTTGTCTGAGTCTGATTTTTTAACCCAAACCTTGAATCTTGGCTTGTTATTCTATCTATAACACTATATAAATCAGAAGTCAAAGATAAATGAGAACAAATGTGACAGCAAATAATTTTTAAAGGATCATACTAGAAAGCAGATTTTCTCTGTGACATATTTTTTTTTTCTATTCAGGACACCATTCTAATAATATATTTTATAAGCTGCTTACAGTAAAATTCTAATGAGAAACAGCAGCACTTGAGTTGAGAGACTATAATTTACACTGAGAAGTAGGATAATTTTGAAAGGTGGAGGACACTGAGTATGAATTCTGATTAATACTAATGAAAATGACTCAAAAAATCAAACCTTGAATGAACATTTCAAAAATTAATTTAATGAAATATACTTGTTATCTTTAATGTATAAAGATATTTCATTAAATTAATTTTTGGAAATTGTTATGATTAATTTTATGTCAAGATACTGAGAGCCTTCTAAAGCTGATTAACAATATTAAATATAGAACTGCACAGGAAATCAACCTTTCCTGCGAATTTAAAAGTAACGGCCTGTAATTTGTATTCAAATGCTATTTCCTGTGATTCATTGTATTGAAGTCAGCTTCATGAACTGAAGACATATAAGGCTCCTGGGATAAAAGAAAGAAGAACTTAATACGCTTCAGAAATACCTACATTTTTAAAAAGCCTACTATTTAAGACCAGATTTAAAGCAATTTCATGTTGACTCAACCTCCTTAAATCTAGGAAAGTGGGAACTACAGCTAATGCCTTAACAGATGTACTCAGGATCAATAAGGATATTGAGTAATCACAAATTGTGTTTGCCACACTAAATTGTGTTCTCCCTGGCAGCACAGAACTTTAACTATACAAATAAAAAATAATAGGTGGTAGGCTTGGGGGAATACTGTCTGTAGTACCCATATATCCATACATTACATACAACATCTGAAAGGATACACATACACCATGAGTAGAAAGATCATAACTTAATACTGTCCTTACTGAATAGAATTCCTCCTGACAAAGCTATCTGGATAGCTGGCTTCTGACAAAAAGCAGCAAATAATTTTTAACTTGCTATTTTCATCACAGCTGCCTGGTATAGTAACCATAAAGCATTAAAAAATGGTGCCTGCATTATCTTAATTTCCTTTTTTGCCCTGTTCCTTCTACATCATATATCAGTGGGGTGGAGGCTAACTTGTTTTCATCATTCTGTAAATTAAGATTTCAAACTTTTAAGGCTAAAGAACACACACACACACACACACACTCAATCTATACGTATACATACACACCATGCTACTCCCTTTCAGGGTAAACAATACTATGCAGAACACAGAAAAGGAGTCAGAAATAAAAACCAAAGGAATTAAAGGAATGAGATAGGCAAGGAATTATAGCTATAATTCCTTGCCTATCTCATTCCTTTAATTTCTTTGGTTTTTATTTCTGACTCCTTTTCTGTGTTCTGCATAGTCTTTGGTTTTTATTTCTGACTCCTTTTCTGTGTTCTGCATAGTGGAAAAAATCCTTATGACTGGATGACAACTGACACAAACTGATTTCCACTTTGTTCACTATTGCTTTTGTACATTAATTAATAATATGTACAATATTGTATTAATATTATGGGCATCTAATAGATTTTTTTAAATAATTGCTGACATTGGATACAGCATTTTCTTTCAGGTTCATGACTAACATAATCTGCTTTGTTCTATCATATCGAATCATAAGTCCCACTGGATTCAGGCTTTGGTTTTTATTTCTGACTCCTTTTCTGTGTTCTGCATAGGAACAAAGTGGAAATCAGTTTGTGTCAGTTGTCATCCAGTCATAAGGATTTTTTCCCCCTTTAAATATTGAGAAATGCTCAGTAAATATGATACTGCTATGTACTGGTCCCCGTTTAGATCAGAACAGGCAACCTAGAGCCTGCAGGCCATTTGCCAATAAACCTTTGTGCCTCCTAGAAAACCTCTGAATATTGTCATAAAATTTGATGATGCAATTTGCCACTGAATTTTGGCTGTGTGATTTCATACAGTTTAAAAGTATTGAGCTAGGAGATGTGGATTTTTCTAAAAAAAATTAATCTAGTTTTTACCTAGCTCAGTTCATTTTTTGCTTTTCCCCACTGCTTCTTTTGGGATTAAACCCCCCAGCAATCTACTCCAGGGCCAAGGGCAGTCCTCAAACAGGAAAATATTGGCCATTCCTAATGTAAATGCTTGTTAGCTCTATATAATTCCTTTTTTTTTTTTGGAACTAGTAATAATTCACTAAAAGTCATTCACCAAGAAGTCTTGAAAGGAGCTGTCAAAATAGAGACATCTTTTCACAGAAATCTGAATAGATGAACAATTGATAAAATATATAAACAGTTAAGAAAGTGCATACTGAATAAGGTAATCCCATTACTAAACAATAAATTGAGTTCTATTATATCAAAGTACTGCTTTTACTGTATGTTTGCCACTTACAGTTTGAGTCATAAAACACTGGAAATGCAATTCAAAACATTCTTTCTGAAAGTAAAAGAGCTACATAGGATTTCAGCCTAAATATTTGAAAAGCAACTCTTTGCTGGTTTGTTATAAAAGGTGCATCATAATTAAACTTACCTCTTCTTGTTTGGAAATGCCACACTTTGTCATTTTTGACTTAGTCCTAGCTGATTCATTTTTAGCAGAAGACATCTCTCTATATGAGGTGCAGAGCATGCTGGTTTCATCTGGCACCTTTAGTCTTGGAGATTTATCAGGAGCCTGATCTTGACCGTCCATTGGCCTTACATAAGCTGTTGGTTTCTGCTGAACTATATTTGGTTTTGAAGCAAGTGCAGGAGGAAAATTTTGTACACAGTGTCCATTGCTATGCATAGCTGGTCTTTCTTGAGCCTGGACTCCAGTTTCTGTGCCACAGCTCAACTTTGACTGCTGTTGTGTTTGAATGTTCTCTCCAAGTGAGGATGGTAAAGGACCTTGAATAGCACTGGATGAAGATGGTGGTGAAGGACTGTGTACGTAATGCATAATCTTTTCCAAGCTGCTCTTTTGGTTAGTTGTTTTGAAATCATTACTGTGTGAATCTGGCAATCCATGCCTATGTTTGCCTCCCCTCTGCTGACTCTCTAAGCAATGCCCAGGTTTCTGCCAACCTATTGTTATATTCTTGCTCAGCTGTCCAGAAAGCATCACCGGCAAAGAAGCCTGAGGACTGCAAATAGAAGTCTGAGTATGGGTCTTTGTTTCAGCAGCAAAGTGATCCTCTGTTTTGTTCAAAGACACCTGTGACATACAGGGCTTTGGAACACCAACAAGGTGGCTTTGATTTGAGTGATCAGTCAATAATTCTTTCATTTCATCATAGTTACCCAGTGTATTCTGGATACGACTAGACAGTTCATCCCCCTTATTTGTCTGTGAAGGAAATAACAAAAATAATCAAAAGTTCAAGGAATAAAATAACTGAAAATTATGAATGTGCAGTAGTTCTGCAGCACAGGATTGATGAATCAAATAAATACACATTATTGTCTGAGATTATCTAATATTTCTATTTATTGTAAATATGGGTAAGCATTAGACAGGGAACACAAAATAGAGGTTAAGAAAGTCAGAGATCTGTTGCTCTAAAAGCTCACAGTATTTATGTATTTGTAAATAAGTTCAAACTCTATAAAACATGATAGCAGCAGTCACACAATATAATTATTCACGTTAGTTAAAGACCTAAAAGCTGCGTGTCTGTAACATGCTAAGTGTGGCTTTTTCTGTTCTGCAGACTCAGCTCTTTTGGTTAATTTATGTTTCAGGGTATTGTGCAATCCCCAATATGGATTAATTACATTAATCACAACACGCATGTTGTGAGAACATAGTGTAACTTTCCAATTCCAAAGGAATCCAAGCTCAGGTAAATATGTTCCTTTGTAATCCTTCATTATTCAAGAAATTAATAAATAATGTATATAAAATAAGATATACTTTAAGGCCTTATATTTTAAATAAGTAGTTACGTAGCATCCTTGCTCACTTGCCTATTTTACAGACTAAAACATTAACCAATTCTCAAGTTATCATTTAAATAACAAGATGCCCTTCCTTTGCCTGTTAGCTGCATCTACCTCTTAAGAAACAGGTTCTGCTGATGTGATATAGAAAGCTATAGGAGCAAAGGAAACAACCAGAAGTTGTGTTCATAGCATAAATATAGCACTGTGGGATGAGGTCAAGGCATGGGCAAATACAGATTCAAAGAGGTACAGGAGCGTGTCTTATTTGGTTTAGGAAAACCTTTCATTTTTTCATGAAAAAGTGCATGAAATAAACAAAAGCCGATCCCGAATGGACATATAAATGTAGCTGTTAGCAAGATTCAAAACAGGTTGGCCTTAATAAGAATCTCTTAGGAAGAACAAAGCTAAAATACAGAGTGCTCAGCCTGGGCATGAAAATATTGGGAAGACTGAGGTGAACGATAAAATAATCCTGTAAAGAAATAAAAAAGAATGAGGTTAGGTTCCTGAAGAACAGGTTAACAATAGCTCAGTATATGGTCAGACTGAAGCTGCATAGATTGTCAATTTACCTGAAGGACTTACCTTAAAATGTGAGGGGAGATATTGACTAGGCAATATACAAACTTAATCTCATTTTAAAACAGCTTATTTTGTTCAGTGTAGCTGAATGTAATGCTATCCTAATGTTCTTCTATTCCAAATAACAAGCTCCTAAACACAACCAATCATCAATATCAATGCATGCTTTATGAAGCCAGTGTGTTATGAGAAACTATAGAAAATTATCTACTACAACCTATTTCTACTGACCAATTAGAGTAGGAGCATAGAATAATATGTGCAATTGGCATTACTGAACCAAATTATTTGGTTTTGGCTTACACTCTGAGGAAGAATTGTATAATTTGAAATAACTAGTTAAAAGCTGTGTTACTACAGTACTAGAAAATAATGCAGTTTTATTAGAAGTCAAATACACTAATAAGATCAGTTTCTTTTCAAGGAATAAAAGAACTATTGTTAATATAATGGAACTTCAAAAGTTCTTTGAACAACACCTCATAAAGTTTAGGGAGATTTTTTTTTTTAATAGGAAAGCTGTAGGAATGTGGACAAGATCTTCCCTGGAACAACTATAGCAATCCATTAGCTGGGGATAATATGACTGTTGGACTTCAACTACCATAATCATAAAAGATGTAGGTACCATATTCAGAAAGCCTATTTTATTATCATAAAGTGACTGTGGGACATAGCAAGCCATCTTTACCTGCAAGGGATTATGGTTAAATTAGAAAACAGCTAGAATAAGTGACATCTCAGTGCCACAGGTATTATTGAACACAGAAACAATAGCAAAAATCCACAAAGGTTTCATCTTATGCAGGTATTTCCTACTGTTCCAAAAAGTTAAGAGAGGCAGTGATTCTCACTTGGTGAGATGGGTGGCGAGGTAAGACAAATTAATTAATAATTTAATTATTAAAAAATTAGCATGAGATCAGTGAGATACTGTCAATCTTCATCCCCTGATGGACTGATGCAGGGGGTTAGGAAGATGACCTTGCTGGAAATATTTAGGAACCGTTACCTAGGCAAAAGGGGCTGAAATGATTTTAAGTCCAGGAAAACTATGTAACATTTGGAAGTGGCTGAGGCAGATGCCTCCCTTATTCAATGCAATTTGGAAAGCACAATGAACAAAAGTTTGCAAAGATTATTGAACTCCCACAAATGAACATTTGCCTTATAAGAGTTATATCTTATCTATTTTACTATTCCAAAACCAAGTTAATCCTACAGATGGAGGGGATATGGATAAAGTATACATACCTTGTATGGTTCACTGAAGAGGGAGTAACTGGTGTTAAATATGCTGTCTTCATGCTGGGTCTCCTGATTTCTCCTTTCCCATTCTTTTCTGCGTAGCATATTTCTGTCAAGGTCATAGACACTGCACCAAAAAAAGAGGTAATAGCCAAATCAACTTTGGTGGTAGTATCTAGGTGAAATAGTATAAATCAATAACCAAATGATAAAGAAGACAAAATGATATATCAATTGAATGCCAGCTGAACAAGGAATTTAAAGTTCCTAGATATAATAAGTAAGTAAATAAAGCTTATTATGGTCTTAGACTAGCAATACTTACATAAAACACAACCAATAAATTCCACATAAGAGTGCTACAATGGTCATATGCATTAGTTCTGCCTACTAAAGTTAACATAATGTGGCAAACTGTTGAAGCTAGAAAGCAGTATCTGACAATTCTATATATCATCTTCAGGTTTTTGCCCACAAAAAGGTGATAAATATAAATAACCCAGGTGGCCGGGCATCTTTGTTAGTAGGGACTGCGATAGCCTCACAGGGAGATCATTGTAAATTTACCTCTTAAAATTATGTATTCAGTTGGCCCAACCTCCCCCAAATCCACAAGGACATAACTTCTGCATGGTTGCAGTATTATTAAACCCTTCCTCTGGAACTGCTAAGTGGAGGGCACTAAAAGAGGCTCTGGTAAAGGCTCAGCAAAATTTAGGACAAGCTGGTGACTTTCAGTAATCCAGTGAAACATTTCTCTGTCTTTTGATACATCCTGAAATGTTGACTGAGTTCATGTTGTAACCCTTCCTCTTCAATCCTTTATTGAATTGTCTCCTTGACTCCATTTAAGCCAGAGTTGCTCCAGGAACAACACATACAGTCAGGTCCAGACGTATTGGGACATCGACACAATTCTAACATCTTTGGCTCTATACACCACCACAATGGATTTGGA